GGGGGAGGGATGCGGGGGAGGGGTGCGCTCCTGCCATTAGTGCACTTTTCAGTTTCCATAAAAAGATTATTCTGTAAAATCAGCGAGGGGGAGCAAGCTGGGGGCCGGGGAGGGGGGTGGGTCCCTGGCACCAAGCTGGATGGGGCGACAGGGGAGGAGAGCCGGGGACAGGGACCCGAGTATGGAGAGAAATTTGGATGGGCTTCAGGAGCCAGCCGAGGGGGAGAGGCTGAGCCAAGAACACAGACTTGGGGGGAGGCTAGCCAGGACGGGGTGGGGTGGGGGCAGAGCCCTCATCTCCCTCCTGTCCCCTTGGCCGGGCTGCCAGGGGGCCCAGTCTCACCTCCATCTCCATCCCCTCCCCCTGGCACTTAGCAGCCATTATCCAGGGAGCAGATTGCAGCCCCCTCCCCCTCTCTGGGAAGCAGGCACAGCTGGGGCCCCGCCACATCTGCCGCATCAGCACGGAGCACAGCTGGGTGTGCCCAGAGCTGCGCTCCCCAAAACACAAAGAGGGTGGAAGGGGTGGGCGGGGGCCAGCAGAGCCCAGACCCCTGACACAGACACCCTGACACCTCTGCCAACAGACACATACTCCTTGAGGTGAAGCTACACCCACTGGCACACGCTCCCTCGTGTGCAGAGACGGGAGAACTGGCAAACACGAAATTATCCGGCCCCACCCGCCACCCACGCTCCGCTCCCCCAGCCCCTCCTGCTCCCCTTCCTTCCCCGAGTTTCCCCTCTGCCACCATGGCCACCTCTGAACTGCCCTGGGCTCTGGTCTGGAGGGAGTAGGGGGCCTCAGCCACCCCAAGTACATCCTGGGAGGCTCAGAGAGCAGGAGGGCAGGGGGTGGTGAGGGGCATCCTGGTTCAAGGTGTGATCCCTGGGAAGCCATCTGCCCTCCTTCCAAGCCCACACCCCTCCCCACGAAGAAGCGCCTTCTGAGACTGGCCCTTGCCACAACCTGGGCACGACAGGGTCTCGGTGCCAGCACTGAAGGCTGCGGCACCCTCGTGCTCCACTGGCCACCTCAAGGGGGTGCTGTGTGTGCACAGTCTAGCCTTCAGCTCAGCTGCTAGGGCTGGCCCCTGCCACTGCTCCTGCCCCCATATGCGCCCATTCTCGACCCTTGGCAGTGCGTCCCTTTGCTGCCCCTGACACGCATGGGGCGTGGGGGCTCTGTCAATGGCAGAAATGTCCCTCTCTCATCAGGAGTTCCTTCTCTCGTCTCCTCATCGATGACCACCTCTTGGCCCCTGATGAAACCCTGCCGCCTTCACAGCCCTCTCTTTTCCACTCATCTCGTGGCCCTAGTGTCGTGCCCTCAACCTTCTCCTCCCGGTCCCCCCATCCCACGCCGCTCCCCACATGCCCCTCAGAGCTCTAATCCCTCCTGCTGCTGTGCCGCCTTATCTGTTCCCAGCAGCTTTCCCTGCTGCAAAGCCCTCTCCCCCTCCTTCCTGGATCTTCTCCCCCTCCTTCCCTCACTCTCTCCGCTCTCTGACCAGCGCCCCCCCTCCCGCCAGCCCATGTCTGCCACTCAGGCCCCCGCTGTGGCTCCTGGCTGACACTGGCTCTGTACCCCAGCGCCCTTTGCCCTCTCTGCAGCCTCAGCTCCGAGGTTGTCAGCTGCATACCCACTCCCACAGTGGCTGTGGCCATCCCAGCCCTCCCTTGAAGTCCCCACAGACTTTGTTAGTTTCTGGCCAGCCAGGATTTTTCAACTTCCTGCCCTCCCTTTCGTGGTGCCTTCCCCACTTCCTCCTGATGCCCCCACCCCATCTTGGATCTGGTGCCCTTATAGTCCCAGGGACTCATTGCCTTGGCTTGGGAGCACCAGAAAGGAGATGGGAAGTGTTGGTATGAGACTCAGGAGAGGGTGCAGGGCAGGGCTGGCCCTAGGAAGATCGGGTGGGGGTGCAGGGAGGACTGGTGGACCGTGGGGGCAGGGCCGGGCGCTGGGACGCTAACCCTCTTCAGTCGCCTCAGATCACGTTCGGGCCTCCCCAACCCCCTTCACTGGGACTCTCATTAACTGCTTCTCCTGCCTCGTCCATGGCATAAATAACCCAGATAAATCAGCCGCCGTCCGCCCCCCGCCCCTCGGCCCCCGCACAGCCCGTTTGTCACCGATGTGTGCTCACCAGCCAGGCCTGGCCCAGCTCTGGCCCCAGCCCCCCTATCCTGTCCCTTCCCTCCCACATCTGTCCCACACTGGCTCATCACTTGGTCCACACCAGGGGCAGGTGTCTGGGCTGCAGAGGGTGTCCTCTGCGTGAAGGGGGAGGCTGGGTAACCTTAGGAGAACGCTGGCTAGGAGTCTGGGAGGGGGGGTCATAGGATTTATGAATGGGGCCAGCCAGGCAAGGAATCTGAGCATCAGCTTGGGGGTTCCTGTGCTTTGAGAAAGCGCCCTTGGAACCCCCTAAGTTGGATCCTGGGAGGTCTCTGGGTCTGCTTTTGGGGCATTTTGCCCAAACAAAATCTCCATGCCTCCTCCCAGGAATCTGGAGGCAGAAACTCACTTCTCTCCCTCTCTCCGCCTCTGCCCCCTGCCCCCCACCGCCATACCAAACCTCGCCCCAGTCCATCTACCACTCAGTCTCACTGTCAGGAAGCTCATCCCCTGGGGGGCGGAGGCGGGTGAACTGGCCTGGGAATAAATCTGAGGAATGGGGACAACCGGAGAGCCGAGGAACCTGGGATGAGGCTTCACATCTGACCCTGCAATACCCAGCTCCCCTGAGCTCACAGCCCAGGGCCCCTAACAGCCCCCCCCTTTCTCACACCCAGCTCAGGGCCTGGCCAGCCACATTGGTCCCTGATTCCTCACTGCAAGGGGCAGCTGGTCCCCTGGGAGTGGGTGGGAGAAGCAGGGAGGGGTGGGGGAGGTTGGGCGCAGGGCTGGGGTGGGGGTGGGGAAGAAGCTGGGCCGGGCCCCAGGGACCAGCTGGGCAATGAGCCGGGGAAGCAGCCGGGAGGCTAAATGAGGGAGATTATCACCCAACTGCAGCCGGGCAGAGAGGGAAGCAGGCAGGGAAGCGGGGAGAGGGAGGAGAGAGGGGACCGGGCCAGAGGCAAAGGGGGTATGGAGAGACAGGGAGGGGGCCAGGGGGTCTGGAGAGAAGTAG